TTTATTTATTTATTTATTTATTTATTTATTTATTTATTTATTTATTTTATTCACTTTACACCTCAAATGTAACCTCCTCCCTTGCCTCCTCCCTGTTTGCCTACAGTTCTTTGTATAGGGTTGAGGCCTCCTGAGTGAGCTTTCCCTCTTTTCACATGAGCCTGTCTATTGGGGTTGTCCTTGCTCAGGTCACATGTAGGCTGCTTTGTTGGTGAGATACATGGGTGTAGCTTCTCTCATGTTTCTACGAGAAACAACCTCACGGCAAATTCCCTGTTTTTTTAAGTCCTAGAAAAAAAAATCATTCCAGCCCCTCTTCTGCAATGACCCCTGAGTGATAGGCGGAAAAGCTGTGTTGTATATACACAAGTAACATTATACAGACTAAGCAGGTTGTATTTATGATTTTAGGAGCAAACATAGAGGCCATGAATCTGAAAGAAAGTGGGAAGTTGGGTGGGGTGGAGATTTCAGGGGAATGCTTGGGTTTGGAGGCAGGAAAGAGAAAGAAGAAATAATGTAATTTTATATTATAAAAGAGATAAAATTAAATAGAACCTGTAATAAAAGTAGCCTGTTATTGATAAATTATACCATTCTTTTAATGAAAACAAATTTAAATGTCTTTCTGAGGAATTAGGATGGCTTGATGACCATACTGCTGTCAATCATAATACTGAATGCAATAAAATTACCAAGGCTGCTCTCTTTTTTAATAAAAAGATTTCTTTATTTTAAAAATGTATGTGTAAAGTGTTATGCTTGCATATATGTAAGGGTGCTATGTGAATGCCTGGTGGCTGCAGAGGCCAGAAGAGAATTCTAGGTCTCCTGGGACTGGAGTTTTGGGCAGTTGTGATGCCACTGGTCTTCTGCAAGATCAGCAAGCACTCTTAACCACTGAGCCATAGTTAGAGCCTCAGTTTTTCACCTTGCAGAATTCTAAATGTGAGTGTTCAAAGACTTTTTGTTCTCTCAGTTTCGATCCTTGTCTAAAGCACTTAGAATCAAACTTAAAAAAAAAAAAGACCCCAGTATGTACTTATTTTTGAAACCCATATTTCTTTAAATATTTGCTCTTGTTGGTAGTGATTTATATTTTTCTTGTAAAATTTTGACTGTTGTCTGCTAATATTCTGCATAAATACAGCTTCTAACAAAATAATTTAAGTGATGTTAATGTGCTAGGATATCACCCATAGGACAAATAGAATTAAACTCAAGCATGAATTCCTGCCTAAGGGCCTTCTATGCTTATTTACTTGATTTTGGCCCCAAAGGGGAAGGGTGACATTTAGGGAGTCTTCTTGATACTGGCTCCTTGTAGTATTTCATCTTTCCTCCCCTGACACAGGATCAGATCAGATCAATGGGAACACTGACTCATTACAGTGACTAGGGACAGTTAAGATAAATTACTACTAGATGATTAAGTAGCTATGCCTTCAGAGAAAATTGTTCATAGATAATGGGGGATGTCTTCAGAGTCAGAATAAAGTTATGATAGACATGGTGGTACATATCTTTAGTCCCAGCACAAGGGAGGGCAAAGCAAGGGGGTCATGATTGGGGCCAGTCTAGGCTACATATGAAGACCTCTCAAGGTGAACAAAATTCACTTGTGTGATCTCTTCCAAAAGCAACTAAAGCGAAGGGATGACAGAGAAATGGTTCTTTATGCATGGTTGTCTGGCAGCAACTCCCTTCTTCAAGAGTCCATATGTATATTTTGTTTTTTTTAGAGACAGGGTATCTCTGTGTAACTCTGACTGTCCTGGTACTAGATTTGTAGACCAAGATGGCCTTGAATCTGCCAGACATCCCCCAAGTGCTGGGATTAAAGGCATGCCCCACCACCACCTGGCTAGAGTTCTGTCTTAGCAGTCCATAATCCTCAGAGCCATTAGCACGGAAGGTGATTGCCTATAGAATTTACTTAGATTTATTTCGGTTTTGGATCCTAGCATTTTTCTTTCTGTTGGGATCTCAACTTTTAGATGTAAGCATCTGGCTCATTTCACGCAGATGCCCCAATCAGTAAAGCTTGGTCTCTTCTCAAGCACTAGTTTATTACGGAGGCAAGAAAACCTACAAAGCCAGACTGGCCAGACACGCTAATTCCCTCAAGGTTGAGCAATATCTAAACACAAGGAAAGAACTGAAACAGTCACTTAGAAGCTGCTTTTGCTAAAATGCTGACTCCTTACTTGGGCCACAAGCAACTGAAAACAGGATGAAAGACTGGGATCTTTGCCCTCATTTTCTGTCTGTCTGTCTGTCTCCTTAACTATGACTAAAAACACATATGCAAATAACACATGTCCTAAATCTGTAGTCACCTTGGATCCCTGAAAAACAAAACCCCTCACAACAGACCAATCCTCCAGATGAGGATAATTATCCAACGAAGGCAAGCTTCACAACAGGGCAAAAATGACCTGAATGTAGGAGCCAGATTCATCACCCCAGCAATGGAATGAAAAGGACTTTCTCAACCTACTTTATAGAATGAGAGCTAAGGTGACGGCAGGGAAAGCTTGGCCAGGACTGCTTCAGTACACATGTCCTGGCACCCACCCCTCCTCAATTCTTCCTCTACCCAAGGTCTGAAAGCTCATGTCACCACTCCACGGCAGACTTGGGGATAACTGTCACTCCCCCACAGGGCCACACTAAACACATTTGCTCTCTCCGCTTTTCACTGAAATGTAAACTAAAATAAAAACAGTTTTCCCTTTGTTTCTCGTCTTTTTTCCTTTGCTGGTGGCAGTCAGCTACTCTACTACCTAGCCAGTGCAAGTGCAGCCTTAGAGCCCCATGTTGAGAGATAAACCAAACCACAGGCCTTTCCCAGAGAAAGTAATACTGAAACTTCTTTGTTACCTTGATAGTGCTGGAGTAATTTGTTCACTCTTATATCCCAGATTTTAACAGTGTGATCAGAACCTGCTGAAGCTATGCATGTTCCAGTAGGGTTAAAGTCAACAAAATTTGCAAATCTAGGAAGAAAGAAGATAATGGCTTGACATTTCAGTTTCTTTACCTACATTTTAAAGTTTAAATTGCTTATAATATCTACTTAGCAAACAGATCCATATAAGTGTACAAAGGGAATGGACTTACCCTACAGAATCTGAGAAGTTATTAACACACTGCTTACTTGCAGTATCCCAAATTTTAACAGTTTTATCCTCACTACAGGACACGATCAATCTTTTATCAGGTGAGAATCTAGAAAGAGAAGATCCTATATGTGAGCAGCTTGGGACAATTACCACCACACACCTCCATCCCACACTCAGGTCAAGCTAAACAGGGGAGATACCAGAGGCCACTGTCACCACAACAGCAAAATTAACATTTGGCAACTGATAATTTTTTTTTCCTTTTTCTTTTTTTGTTTTTTGCGACAGGGTTTCTCTGTGTAGCCTTGGCTGTTCTAGACTTGGTTTGTAGACCAGGCTGGCCTTGAACTCACAGAGATCGCCTGCCTCTGCCTCCCTGAGTGCTGGGATTAAAGACATGTGCCACAACTGGACCAACTGGTATCTTTGCAACTACGTATCACTATGACAAACACTGGAGATCCTTCAAAGACCACACATGTTATATAAACTAACCATGTTCCTTTTTTCTGTTTCTGTTTATAATAAGTAATTGATTTAGTTTTGTGGTTTTCCTGGAGATTTTTTATTAACTCTGCACTTTGTCCAAATCAAATACCTCATATTTTTAAAAGTACTCTTATTTCTTGTTTTGTTTTGTTTTTTTCAATTTTTATTTTCTACCATTATCTATACAATTTAAGAGATTTAAAAAGACTTATCCCACCAACCTAGTAGTGGAGCTTTTGTTTAAAACATAGACTGACTGTATGTGTTGAGAATCAAAATTTATGTGGCATCAACCAAGCAAAGAGTCTTCCTAGACTTAGACTGAAAGCAGGACAAGTCACTCAGAATATACATGTATGCATACAAGTATGTATGTATGTATGTATGCATGTATGTATGTATTTATCTATCTAGACCCGCCTTTAATCCAGCAACTCAAGAGACAGAGTAAGGTGGATCTCTGAGTTTGAGGCTAGCCTGGACTAAAGTAAAGTGAGTTGCAGAACAGCCAAAGGTACCCAGAGAAATCCTGTCTCCAAAAAACACCAAAGAGAGAGACAGACAGACAGACAGAACGACACTGCAGACATCTTGTCTACCGCTTGTACATGGTTTTCCACGTTTACTCTTTATTTGCAACAGTAACTGCCTTTAAAAGTCAGAAGAGCTGAAAACCAAACAGAAGATGAAGTTCAGATAGTGAGGAAGCTACACACAGTTTTTTTTACTAGTTATATTTTAGCAGGAACAAAGCCCAGAAAAAGTATAAAATTAGCCCACAGACCCGTGATTATGAGTGGATTTCATGTTTAGTTTCCCTGAAGTCCAGAGTCCAGATTGTTGACTTTTCAGTTCGGTGTGGAATATGATTAAAGGTTTTATTTTGTTTCCTCTGCACTCTTATTACTATTATTATTTAATTTTTGCCTGCATGTATGTCTGTATGAGGATGTCAGAAGTCCTGGAACTAGAGTTACAGACAGATATGAGCTGCCATGTGGGTGCTGGGAATCAAACCCAGGTCTTCTAGAAGAACAGACAATGCACTAAACTGCTGAGCCATCTTTCCAGCCTCCTAACTTATTCTTAAGAGAGACCTAGAAATGATTCTTCATGCCTGAAACTCTGAATCCTACACTTCTAAAAGTGTAAAAAAGTAAACAAACAAACAAACAAACAGAAATGTTCTTAAGCTCTGTGTGAAGTAATCTCTTAAAATGTATGAAACTCCAAGGAAGAAAATCTTTAATTCTTAGTAGTTTTCTATGATTTTGAAATGACAAGTAATATTTTACTAATCTTTTCCTTCAGAAAATACATGAGAAATATTCAAATACAAGGAATAGTATTATACAAATAAACCTAAATACAAAAAAATCCTCATTTGATGTGGACTTGGATTAAAAAAAAAAAACCTGACACATTATCTTCACGGAAATAAACTTTTCGCAATAAATATAAACTAGTGCAAGGAATCAATTCCTATTGCCTTCTCCTCCTCCTGCTAAGACCAAATCTCATTATGTATCCTGGCTGCCCTGGAATTCTACATACACCAGGATGGCCTTGACTTCACAGAGATCCCCCTGCCTCTGTCTCCAGAATGCTGGGATTAATGGTGCGCATCATATCCAGCTACTGTATTTCTTAATAAGCCTTATTTTTTTTTAATTTACTTAATATAAAAATCTTAAGTAACAAGAATATTCTTTTAAGAGATGGAGTTATTTCTAACATTTGAGGAAGTAATGATAAAACATTTAACCAACTGGACTGATCCAATCACAAATCATTGTATTATTTTTATTACTGTTGTCATTGCTAGTATTCTGGTGCTAGGGATCAAACCTAAGGTCTTGTGTATTCTAAGCAGGCACTCTTCCACTGAGCTATAGCTTCATGACATTACTGATCAAACCCACCACCATCATCATATTATCTTATCCATATCTATTCAGCCCCTATGTCACAGAATGGTTTTTAACACTCTTCCTGTGGATAATTTAATATTCAAAACAATCCCATAAAACAGGTACTATTTTTTTGTCTCCACATGCAGATGAGCAAACTGAGGCACACAAAGGAGTGTGGTGGCTTGAATGAGAATTTTCACATTTCAAAAACCAAATACACAGCTTCCCATATTTGAGCACTTAGTCCCAGATCTATTGCATGCTACCATGGCCTCTCTGCCATCGTGGGCTCTTAAACACTCCACATCTGTAAGTCCTAGCAAACTCATTCTTCTGTAAGTAGGCTTGGTCACAATGTTTTATCACAACAATAGAAAAGTAATTAATATAGAATTTGGTACCAGGAGTGGGTATCATTGTTCACAACTTGACCATGTTGACTTTTTGGAGGAATATTAAAAGATTCTGGGATTTTGGAGTAGCAATGTGTTTGAATATGTAAGCAGAGCTCAATGGGCCATCTTAGGAGGAGCTGGATGGCTAATGATCTTCAAGGATCCCTCCCAGCTCTCCTATCCACTGAAGGGTTTTCAAGTGTGTGTGTGGCTTTTACATGGGTACTGGGATCAAACTCAGACTCTCATAATTATGTTTCACGCATAATCATGATAAAAATGAATAAAAAGAAAAACTACACCAAATGCTATTGGTTGCTATTAGCTGTTAAGTAAAACAAGCATGGTCTCATTCCTTGTGATGTTTCTTGAGGAGGACAAGCATTCAAGGGGTTACTCAAAGATTCACAGAGTATCTGCCAGCACCCAGGCACTGGGCTTCCCTGCAAAACAGGAATGCAGTTAGAGGTGAGATATAAGATTTCTTATATGAAGCTTTCGTAAATCGCGTGTAGATACTAGTATCAGCAATATTTTAAAAACAAAAAACTGTCCCACCAGAAGCTCCAGGGAAGAAACGGTGTTTAAAATAACATATTAGTAAGAAAAAGAAGGTTCTCTTCAGTAGCAAAACCTGACACTAAGCAGCAGGCTCAGGCCTGGAATAACTCTCTGGTACTAAAGTTATGAAGGGGTGGTGCACCTCAGCTAAGTGGAAAGGGCAGGAGGAGGCTGGGAAGCAAGTGGGGGAGTGGGAGGAGGATGCTCTGTAGCCCAAGAGGTCAGGCCTTTTCCCTCCCCCTCACTTTAATTAATGCATGTCCTTCTCCTTTGAGAGGTTGAAAGTGGCCATGTTTTCTATCTCCTCCTTCTCTTTGATTTTTAATTAGAGACATCAAAAAATAAGTTACTATCCAAAAGATAGGTTTCTCTTTGTCCTGACTTTCATGAGGAAAAGTTAAGACTTTTATTGTCAAGGATCAAACAGCATCTAGCAGGACTGTTAATTTTTAAAATGTTAGGAGTATGACTGCTGATTCACAAGTTAATTCTACCCAACCACTTTTTAAGACTCCAGAAATCAGTCAGTGGTGACTAATGGGTTCTCTGAATAGCACTTGACAAATCCACTCGAAATTATTGTTGAATCCATTAACGATCACTGGCACAGCAAAAGAATGAGGGCATTTTAAAACTTATTTTTAAGAAAAACTGGGGAGAAAGGAAAGCTCAAGACGCCGCCACCACAGGCACCAGCCCAGCTGTGCCAGGGCCGGGAGGAGACCAGCCGCCCGACTTCCCCCATTCGCCAACACGTCCTTGGATTTGTTCCAACACTGTTAAAACACAGTGGATTACTATCAAGTTCTGGGCGTGCAGACATGTCTCACCTGAGGACATAGAAAAGGCCTATCGGAAACAGGCATGTAAACAGGCAAAGATCCTGAAAATAAAGCAGGGTGGAAATTCAAACAAGTAGCTGAGGCATATGAGGTATTACCGGATGCAAAAAAAGAGGGATATCTATGACAAAGACGGCAACGAAAGATGAAGCTGTGGTGGAGGAGGTGGACAGTCCATTTGAGTTTGGCTTCACGGTACGGAATCCAGATGACGTCTTCAGGGAATTTTTTGGAGGAAGGGACCCATTTTCATTTGATTTCTCTGAAGACCCGTTTGATGACTTTTTGGAGAACCGAAGGGGTCACCGAGGAAGTAGAAACAGAGGTACTGGCTCATTTTTCTCTGCCTTCGGTGGATTTCCTGCTTTTGATACAGGCTTCTCTTCTTTCGGGTCAACAGGTCATGGGGTCTTATTTCATTCTCTTCAGCATCATATGGTGGCAGTGGAGTGGGCAACTTAAATCAATATCAATTTCAACTAAGGTAGTTAGTGGCAAAAAGACCACTACAAGGAGAACTGTGGAGAATGGTCAAGAGTAGAAGCTGAAGAAGGCAGTTAAACTCCTTGACAATAAATGCTGTGGCTGATGAGAACACCTTTGCAGAAAAATGCCATCGGTGAGGCCAACACACACCAGCTCTGGCCCCTGAGCTAGTACCGGTCCCATCCCCGGTCCCTGCCCCAGCAACAGTTCGGGCCCCCCCTCCTGGGGCGGCCGAAACTATCCAGGCCTACCCCGACGGCTAAACTTGTGTCTAAAAGCAACTGGGAAGATGAAGAAGAGCAGGGCAGGCAGCGGGTTCCTGGCCACTGGAATGCCCCTATGACCTAGCAGGGCTCAAAGAAGGTGGCAAGAGGAAGAAGCAGAAGCAGAAAGAGGACACGAAGAAGTCGACCAAAGGGA